CCAAGAAAGGTGCAGTACTCTGTAGTGGATCTTCTATCAACAATTGAACCTGCATAATCTGCATCAGTGTAGGCCTCAAGGGTTGTATTTTCATTTCTTTTGAACAAAATTCTACTTCCTGAAGTTCCCTTGAGATACTGTAGGATTCTATGAACCGCTTGTAAATGATTTTCTTTAGAACAGTGCATGAACTGACTAACCGTATTTACAGCAAATGCAATATCGGATCTAGTGTGAGACAAGTAAATTAATCTTCCAACTAGACGTTGATACATTTCTTTATCAACTACAACATCTTTTTCTGTATTACCCAATTTAAGATTTGAATCCATAGGAACACTCTCATGTTTACACGACGTTTTTCCCGTATCTTTGAGTAAATTTGTAATGTACTTTTGTTGGGATATAAAAATGCCTTTTCGAGAATGTGTCACCTCGATTCCCAAGAAGTACTTCAACTTTCCAATAGTTTTTATTTCAAACTCCTTAGCCAAACAATGACTCAAGATTTATTGCTCCTTCCAACCATCACCTGTCATTATAATGTCATTCACATATACTAATAGAATTGTTACTCTCCCTTATGGCGAGTGTTTGATGAACAAGGTGTGATCCCCTTGACTTTACTTGTACCCCAAAGATGTCATAACCTTAGTGAATCTTCCAAACCATATAACGCATTTTTCAACCTGCAAATTGTATTGTCTGAGACATTTTTTCATACCCCAATGATACCTACATATAAATCTCCTCTTCAAGTTCCCAATGTAAGAAGGCATTGATCACATCAAATCGTTGTAAATCCCAAACATAATTGACAGCAAGTGCCAAAAATACTCTCACGGTATTCATCTTCGCAACCGAAACAAATGTCTTTGAATAGTCAATTTCATAGGTCTGTGTAAACCCTTTGGCAACCAACATGGCTTTATATCTTTCGATTGATCCATCAGCCTTATATTTTACTGTGTACACCCATTTGCATCCAATTGGCCTCTTTCCTTCTGGTAAAGTCACTAACTCCCAAGTTTCATTCTTCTTCAATGCATCCATCTTGATATTCATGGCTTATTTTCATTTTTCATCAGACAATGCCTCAGAAACATTAGTAGATATGGAAGTAGCGTCTAGGTTTGTAAGGAAGGCTCTATGGGTAGGTGAGAATTTTTGAAAAGAAAGATAGTTTGGAAGGGGATATAAAGGTTGTTTGGTGCATTTTCTAGTCCCTTTTCTAATAGCAATTCGAAGTTCTAGGTCATCACCTGTTGTTTGGGTCATCATTTCATCTTGTAATTCAGAAGAATTACTTACCTCATTTGAAGGAGTCGAATCAGACTCTTAAACTTGTGTCGATTCAGGAATGGCCTTTGACTTTCTCATGTAAACCAGATTCTTTCCATATCTTACATCCGCTCCATGTCCAAGTTCAGTTACTGGTGTATTTGATTGATTTGACGCAACTCCTAGTTCTTCAGCTTCAAATGGGTCTGGTACAAGTGTGTTCGACTCAAGTCCAGAAAGATTAGGTCTATTTCACTCGAAACGGGAAGAATTAGGTGGATTTGGCTCGAGACCAGAGAGATTGAGTGTATTTGAGTCATGACCAGAATGACCAGATGTATTTGACTTAATACTAGACAAATTAAGTGTATTTGACTCAAGACCAAAAAGATCGAGACTTTCAAACTTATCTTCCTTAAAATTCTCCCCCTGAAGATAAGGTTGAGTGAAGTACGGTCCCTCCTCATGAAAGGTAACAACATCCCCGACACAAAAAACTTTTTAGATGGAGGATGGAAGCACTTATATCCCTTTTGAGTATAGAAATACCCGATAAAAACACATCTTAGGGCTCTAGGGTCGAGTTTTTTTTTGTCTTGACTATGCACATGGACAAATGGACCACACTCAAAGATTCTAGATCTAAGATTACTACTTACTGACAAATTAGAAGAGAAGGAAGAAAGAACATCCATAAGTCTCTTGAACCCTGATACTCTAGAGGGTAGTCGATTAATAAGATATGTGCTAGTGAGAACAGCCTCCCCCCAAATATTTTGGAACATTTAGATGAAACAACAGTGTTCGGATTTGGTCTAATAGATGCCCATTTTTTCTTTCTGCGATTCCATTTTGTTGTGGTGTTTTAACACAAGAAGACTCATGGACAATTTCCTCTTTTTGACAAAAAGAAGTAAGAACATGATTGAAGTACTCTTTTCTATTATCAAACATAAGCCTTTTGATATTTACTCCAAATTGATTTTTAATCATGTAGAAAAACTTTGGAAAAACAGTAGCGACATCAGACTTGTTTTGAAGTAAAAACACCCAAGTAATCTGGATACAATCGTCTATGAAAGTAACAAATCACCTGCACCTGTTACATTTGAATTGGTAGAGAGAACCCCAAACATCTGAATGAATAAGATAGAAGGGGAAAAGACTTCTTTTGTTGTTTAACGGAACAGGTAAACGCTTATGTTTAGCAAACTCGCACGCATCACAACGAAGACTTTCAATATCTACCTTATTGAATAAAGATGAAAACAATATTTTAATGACTCCAAAAGAAAGATGACCTAATCGACAATGAAAAAGAAATATTTTTTTCCTTTTTAGAGAGTACTGACTCTGACATAAATGAGTAGGACAAGTGAACTTTTGTACACAGATCCGGTTCTTTAAGATAATAAAGACCATTCCTTTTTCTAGCATGTCCAATCGTCTTTCCTGACTCCTTATCATGAAATTTACAACAATCATTATGAAAAATCACACTACAAGATAAATCATCTGTAAGTTTTTTGTATGGAGACGAGGTTCGTGGATAGTTTTGGAACATGGAGGACCCTTTTTAGAGTTATAGAATGATTTATTTGGATAACTCCAATGCCCGCTACAGTTACAAGAGTATCATCTGTAGTAGAAATTTTTTTATTACTAGGACAAGGGGAATATGTGGAGAATTCTTTCGAAGAGGGTGTCATGTGGTATGTGGCTACTGAATCTAATATTCAAAATAAAGAAGAAGGTGTTTCTGAGACATGAAATCCAAATGAGAGTGGAAACTTACCAGAATACGCAACACTGCAATTACCTGATGACTTTTCCATACTATTGGTCATGAAGGAAATAGAAGCAACAACCAAATATTTATGTATAATACCAAAGAAAACAAGATTTGATAAAGAAATCAACCCCGAAAATATAGAGACAGCGGCTGAAACAGTGCAGGAAGCGGCTGGAACTGTATAGGCAGCGGCTGAAAAATGTGCAGAGCGGTACCAACGGCTGTAGGAAACTGTACGGAACTATACGGACAACTGTCAGAAAAATAGAGATAGCGTTTAATTGAAAAAAAGAAAAACTTGACAGCAAGTGCTGCCCAGTCAAGATTCAAGAGTTCTGACAGCATAAAATGTCCAGTCAAATTTTTAAATAATGATTAGCGGAAGTAGAGTCTCCTAGATTAGGAGCTTTGATACCATGTAAAAAATAAGAATAAGAAATTTTCTGAATGTGTTTGAGTGAGTAAAACACTCAGCAACCATGATATTTATACACACTATATAATTAATTACATATTATGTTTACAAGGAGAAATAAATAATAGTCCAACTCCCTAAATGCATGAATCTAAAAATACATGAACCTAAGACTTAAAAAGCTCACTTTAGTAGAAAAAATACAATATATTTTTTCTATTTCCAACATAAGCCTATTTCAATCTCAACAACTAAGTTTCTTCTTATGGGTCAAAGTTCAATGTGACTGAATCTTTCACAAGTCACCCATCTTGAGCTTGAGGGGGTGTTTAAGAGAAGTATTAGTCACTACTCAGGTTTAGTTAGTGCCTCGGTTGTCCCAGACAGCTGCAAGTCAGTTAGTCACTACTCAGGTTTAGTTAGTGCCCCAGTTGTCCCAGACAGCTGTAAGTCAGTTAGACCTAACCTGTGCACATGTGTGCAGGGTTAGGATCCTTATATGATGATGCAATCATTCATCACAATGAATCAATGGAAACAAAATATTCTAAGACTGAAATTTATCATAAATCATTCACAAATTAACAAATAGGAGCCAAAAAAACATTTAACAAACTTGGTATGATGTTTTTCTCTAGACAGCCATGATCATCCGTGAATAGATTGGTTTTTGGCAAAATGGAACAGTTTGTATTATGATAACAGTGGTCCCAGAGAAAAAAAATTCCAGACGGGCAGTAACCCCCTACCCCTGGATTAAAAAGGGGCTAATACAAATCAAATTACACAAAAGGCCCAGTCTGGGTTTATTAAGTATGGTTTTACATGAGCACTAACTGCAACACACGTGTGCCTATTTCCTATTTACAACAACTAAGTTTTTTCTCAATTACATGCGTCAAATTACACCATAATGTTCTATCAAAAACCACGTTTTTATCTTGTTAATCTCGAAATCTTTCTTAAGTGTGTATTTGTTTTAAATTATAAAATATCATTTCTTGTGAAAGGGAGACTTGGGAAAGAAACTCCTAGTATATCTACAATCATAATTAATTCTAACACTCCTCCTTAAACTAGAGCATACATGTTATATGCACCAAACTTGTTACAAATTGCTTCAACCTGAGATCCTTTAAGGGATTTAGTAAATATGTCAACCAATTGATCATTTGAACCAACAAAGTGATAACATTGTGATTCGCATTCTTAAGTATATAAAGAGTGCGCCGGGTAAAGGATATCCCAACCAAGGATCAAGCAAATTGGAAACAAGTTCATGCCTCTCTCTGTAGTGTTCTTTAGTATTCTATCAATGTCAAACTTTAATCTCAATTTCATTCTTTTAAGATATGTTATAACGTTTGGGCAAAGGCGAAAAAGACATATTCTAATGATGTCAATCGTTTGTACAAAGTTGTCTCTAATCTCATTTCCATGAAGAGAGAAGACATGGATATGCAAAGCTACGTAGGGAAACTTGATAGTTTGATAGCTGATTTTGACGCAGTTATGCCATTTACTGACAGCAGTAACCAAATTTTGCCTAGTGCAAATGTCCCATCATATCACATTGTTTGTGAGCAACTACTGCGTCAGCTTCTTCTACTACTCCAAGACCAGATTTTCTCAATGAGCAAAATGACTCTACTGCCCTTGTCTCTAATTCTTATCAACAAGGTGGTAAAGGAGGAGGACATGGAAATAATAGGACTCAGCCTCGTTGTAGCCATTGCAACCGTTTAATTCTAACATCTTAGAACCCTATTCCCAGAATTATTATTTCTAAGAATACTATTTCTATATAAGTGTTTGATCAAAAGTTTAAAATTCCCAGAAATGTTAACGGTATTTATTTAATTTAAAAATTGTCAAGAATAAAAATAAAATTAATGTGAGTTGGAGTGAGAAGTTGTAGTTAGTTAAATTTTATTCTAATGAGAATGTTGAATTCGCACCCTTTAAGCATGGGAATAATTATGAAAAAAAAATTATGTGTAAAAATTATGTGTAAAAAATACCCGAGAATAATTTTTAAAAATTTGAAACAGACATGGTATTGTTGTATTTCCAATGGAAATACAATTTCAATCCTTGAAACAAACACACCCTAATAGTTTCTTATAATTTTTCTATGTCTACCTCTAGTTGTTTGACTACTCTTCATCTGATTTACTCCTTTTACAACAGAATCCATGGGTCTTTTCTCTACATGCTCAAACCACCTAAGCTTATTTCCACCATCTTTCCTATCGTAAACGCTAGCCCAACACCATTTCTAATATTGTCATTTCTAATATAATCCCCTCTATTCTTACCACACATCAAACGCAATATACTCTATCTCTGCCACATTTTGTTTATTTTCGTGTTGGCTATCTCTGCTCAACATTTTGTCTCATACAACATCGTTGGTATTACAAGTGTCCAATAAGATTTTCCTTTTGTTTGAGCAGTACTTTTGTGTCACATAAAACACCTGGATCTTCCTCCATTTCAATTACCCAACTTGAATTCAATGGTTTACGTCTCCTTCCATTTCTCCATTGTTTTGTACTATAAATCAAGATGTATAAATCATGTAACGGAGGGTAAGACAAGATCTCTAACTTTCACTTCTAGGTTAGAAACATTTTCCCTTTTGCTAAGTTTACACTCCATATATTTTGTCTTAGTTCTACTTAGGCGAAAGTCATATGCTTCTAAAGTTCATCTCCAACCACATTTAAATCCACTTTTTCGACTCTTCAAGTAGGATTATATCATCTGCAAAAAGCATACATCTCGGTGTTAGCTCTTGAATGTGTTTCTTAAGTACATCCAAAATTAAAGCAAAAGGTTAAGGGCTTAGGGTTGAATTTGTTTTTGACACTGCTTAGGGTTGAAACTTGAATCTTGGTGCAAACATATTGTTATCGAAGCCGTTTATCTCTCCACCTTATCTGCACACTAGTTGATACCCTCTCATAAATATCTTGGAACGCTGAAATATAGGCAACCATAACCTCTTTAACATGTGTTGTTAACTCTGTGACATTTCAATTCTATAATTGTGTATGCATTTGTAATTTGTCTCTCTGTTTGAGATATTTTCAATAAATCTTTATTTTTATTCAGTAAACATATTCTTAATATCAGTTTCTATCAGGACTTTCCACAAAGAAAAATCTCTCTAGACACTTTATCATACATCTTCTCCAAGTCAATAAAAATTAAATGCAAGTCTTGTTGATCCACTCTAAGACATAAAACCAAATTGATTATCAATAATTTGAGTTTATTTTCTCTGTCTCCGTTTAAATAAATATTGGGTACTACATTTGGATAAATTTGGGTCTTTGTCGATAATATATCATTTCATACCCACGGTCTAATAAATAAATAAATAAATTTATCTTTTATAAAAAATTTAGACTTTCTCTTTTCTTAATGTTTTAATACTTTTTCTATTATATTGTATATTCTAATAATCAATTAATGTTTTTATACTTATTTGTTATTATATCTTCATGCAATTAAGTCATTTTTATTATAAATAGTTTATATATTTTAAAACTTGGATTTGCATATCTCAGTCTAGGAAAAGCACGCATCTTGTACGTGTACTTGGCATCGTGCCCATACCCATGCAACATAGAATGACATATTATGGGATATAGAGTATATAAGGAAAGACAATACCTAATATACTAAACAGATTTCTTTTTAATTAACATACATTTTGAGTGAGATGTTATACTTATTTGTTATTTATATCTTTCATAGTTAGTATATATTTAAAAACTTGGATTAGTGTACCCGTACCCTAGTACTTTTTAGGAAAATCATGTATTTTGTACATGTACTAGGTACTGTGCCCGTACCCCTGTAACATAGGTTACAACAGTTTTGGTGCTAATGGTTATGGCAGTTATAGTGTATCTATAAACAGCAGAGAAGAAGTAATTTGTAACATATTAACATTCCTCAGAGGTGATGAAATTCATTCATTTCTCTCTATCTCTGAAAGTCAACAAGGATTACCTTCCAAATGATCTGAACATAAAACAGCTATGCTTCCTTTACGATCTGAAACAATCGCCGTATTCTCATCCATGAGAAGGCAATTAGCAACCAACCTAAACGATGGGTCACCGTAAAGTTGCTCCAATTTTTTTGCTTCCTAGCATAGAAGATACAAATTAAACAACTTCAGCATTGGCCTTCCATATATACAATAACAAACTATCAATACAAGAGGACGGCGATCTTGTTGTGTGAAGCATATACATCATTAAATAGTTTCCAAACAAAAGGAAAAAAATAAGTAGCCACCCAACCCCGTGAGGGAAAATGCATAGTGGGGAAGGCAAAAAATATGGACCTTTATTCCAAGGAAATCAATAGAAACCAGTACCAGAATATTATTACTGAATAAGGGGTCTAACAGAAATGAATATAAATGATGGTTTGTTCAGTTGGCCTCTATAACTAAAAACAGGAAATAATCAAATCAGAATACACTATACGAAAATGCTCTCCAATCTTTATGCATGCCTTTTCTTAATTATCAGTTAAAATTTGAATAATACAGTAGAGACAGCCATCACCACTCACCTCGTGGTAAGAATAGAAAAGGATACCATCACGAGAATCACCAACTGCAATTCTTCTAAAATATGCAGTCAAAGATTTTATCATGAAACGCGTCTTTCCTGCAGCATACCTCTTCACTCTTTGCGGAGTGTCATTTGGGAAACCACAGACATAGAACTGAATAAAAAATAATTTAATGAGATGACTATAGCCAAATGAACATACGGAGCTTTCTTATCTGGAAAGAGAAAATTGAGAAAGGAAAAGATGGTGAGGAAGTACGATGAATGGAAAAAATGCAAGAGCTTTGTAACTTACAGTATTGCCAGCAGATGCCAAAAAATAGCGATCAAGATAAGGACAGATGGCTTGTACTACTCCATGCCATGTAGTTGAACAAGCTAATCGGAACTGCCACATTTCATTTTCATCAAGTTTGATGCCATCAGAACTACTATCATCAGGGCTGCTGGCAAGGCTACTGCTTGATAGCTGTTCAGGAACATGCCCAACAATTTCATTGAAAGGTGACGTTTTTTGAGATGAAGACCCTGCCTTCGAACAGAAGGTCATTGAACCACTATCTGAATTTTGCACATGAACAAGGCAGAGAACAAGAAGACGACCCTTAGCACTGCAAAGAAGCATCCTATCAGAATATACATGGTAATCAATGTGAAACGTATAAATTTCCAAAACCATAACTATCGGACAACAGTTAGAACATATGGATTTGTTTTGCCATTATTTATGTAGTATAAGATTATCAAAGTAAATGAAATAATTTCAATATTATTGCTTTGAAGATTTTATATAATCTTGACTTCACTCCAGACAGTTTATACCATTATTGTTGGAAAATATATATTCAATATTTCCCTATATTCCAAATTATCATGGCTAAGTTAGTGATGTAAATATACAGTTTATATTAAATGCCAAACAACTTCCTACATGCATTTAGTAAGTATTAACAAAAGTAGTTGTAGCTATTGTTTTTTAAACAATGACAGTTGTAATGTAACTGTTAAGAGACTCATGTCGGACAATATATGGCATGAACATATGTTTATAAGTGGAGACAATCCTCATCTTACAAGCCGGTTTTGTAAGGTTGAATTAGACTCAACCACAAATTCTAAGATATGAAAGCCTAATTCAAGATCCGTTGGACCACTTGCTATCAGATTTCTTGACAGTGTTGGGCATAAGAGGGTGTTTAGAGTCCCACATCAGATAATATATAGCCTGAACATATGTTTATAAATGGAGACAATCCTCACCTTAAAAGTCGGTTTTGCAAGGTTGGAGTTAGGTTCAACCAAAATTCTAAGAGAAAAAAATAACCACATGCCATTTACTAATACCGTATTGTATAAATTCTCATTGCCCTTTAGTTTGAATCTGTCAGGAAAGGAGAATGCCTATTCATAAATATACATTGCTTTTTCCAAGAAAATTTTGAAAATGAAACTTTCATGAGAAAAAAACAGAGGTCATAACTTTGAGGTTTTATGTTAGCAGGTAAAAGGTATGTGCCGGAGCCGGTGGTTACTGATTTCTATATAAAACTTACATTGGAAATTGGGTACCTTTTCTTTCTTTAACATACAGATAATGCATTATTGCATACTTGTAGACTCAAAGCAGTCTGTGATGCATGAGTCAAAATCTACTTTTAGTGATTAGATGCATATACACTCCTATAAAAGGAACTTGCAAGAAGCTTACTGGCAGCTTGCTCATTTAAAGCATAAAAGTCATATGCAACTCAGAAAAGATGAGCAACCAGCAAAGTGATACTAAAAGGGAAAGCAACTCCCATCACTTAGCTAGTGATATACAGGGAAAATTAAAAGACTATGAAAGCTCGATGACATACTTCTCAGCTTCACCACTGGAGATTACAGGTGGACCAGAATACAGACTAGTTCCAACCACAAGCACCTGCTCACTTCCAAACCTAATTAATTCCATGGAAGTTGCTGTTTCTCCGAGTTTCATTCGAAAAGAAGATACTACTGACCCACTTAGGGGGTCCACACAACATATGTCAGACAAACATGTACCAATACTCAGTTCAGTCCTCATCACAAGTAACATCCGACTTTCGTTGTGATACAAGACCTTCCGTGGAGTGCCCTCTAAATGAAACTTCCTCATACTAAGTCTCTTGCTGTGGACCATCTCCACCTAAAGCATCAAGAGATAAATATATGGTAAGTCAAGATAGCAACACATACAAAAACCACATACAACACAAAATCAGGAATGGAAACTGTGGTTGTTTCTTGATGAGGAAGAAAGTTTAAGTGAAAATAAATTGGTCTTATCACCAAGAAAATTATGTTTCTTGTGTAATGACTGCAACAAGACCCTCCAATTAAACAATTGACAGTAATCACAACACACACACACACTATATCTTTAGACAGTAATATGCATGTAAGTATAAACATATTCAACGCACTATAAGTTAAAAGAGAAAGAACAACCAAAGAAAAATAAGAAATAAGCAATGTGACAGCAATGATATTGTAATATGCTTTTCTTACCAGATGCAAACTGTTTTCAGCAACAAATAATATTCCTTTTGGACAGTCAATAGAGCAAACAGGAGTTACATGTGAAGATGGTTGAAATGAGATAGAAGTATAGGAAATGCTGTGTCTTGCACTATGCAACAACCAAGCTCTATCACTCAGTGCAATTATATCAGCATCAAGTGTGTCATCCAGGGGCACCAAGAAAACTGGAGTGATGCCAATGCGGCGAATGGCAATCAATTGAAGCATGCAAGGAAGATTATTTCTCACGTTGAAATCCATGGCCATAGAATTTACCAAATTTATAGAAGATAAAGCAGTGTCCACCACGTTTATTGATGAAGAATGAGACGATTCTGTTGGCCACTCAAAGCGAAGGAGCATTCCATTCCTCAATCCAGCAAGAACATAATACTTATCAACAAATACGAGTCGTACATCTTGAGGTATGCAAAAACTTTTAGCAGTCCCCATTGTACTTTTTAATGAAATTGTGCCACAGGCAACTACCGTGACTCCACCATTCGGATCAAAAGACCAAATTTCAACAGAAGGCCTATGGGTGCCAATAACAAATGTTTTATTGATGTCCACTCCGCTTACAAAAGAGGCAATTGAGCTATTAATTTCTGAAATGGATGAATTCGATTGTTTTTTCCCATACATAGGTCTAGGGATGGAAATACATGATAATTCGTTCTGTAGTTCCAAATGTTGCATTTCATAAATTTCATGTTGATAACCTGATAGCACTCTAACCCCGAGGATAAACAAAAAACATGGGTTAGAAGTTGACACAACTATGAAATTATGCCCAACTGCTCCCAGACTAATATTCAGATTGTCTGGGGACCAAGATGTGCAAATAGGAGAAGACAAAGGGATGCCTTCAGAATGACCATCCTTAGTAGGCAAACAAAGCTTAACAGTAGATTGGTAAATCTGAACTAGCAAACCATCACTTACAAGGCCACACGCCAAAGTACAGACATTAGGTTGGAAACCAACATTATCAGTCACATCAGTAAAACTTAAGCCAACTGACAATATTCTGGTCTCCCCAAGAAATGATAGAACTAGAAAAGAATGATATGAATCCGTAATTTTCATCCGAACAGTCCAAGTACCAGCTACCCCTTCATAAGTAGAAGGGGTTCTATGTAGCTTTTCTACATTGATACCACTTTGAATAATCCTTAATGACCCCTCAGGTGTTACACCACAGCAAGCAAACATTTGCTCGTGCTTCTCATCATGATAATCCCCAGCTGCCACATCGAAGATTGGTGAAATGTTTTGAATAAGATTTGTAAAGGATAGTCTTCCATCTCTCAATTTCAGGACCACGCTGTCCCCCATTTCTACCATTGATGCTAGATAACCACCCTTAACCCACAAAAGTTCTTTACAAGGTAGACCTTTATAAAGACACTCGGAGAGACTGAATTTAGGACCATCATAGTCCACAAAAACTTCAATCATAAAAAACTCTCCAGTGTCTACACAAAAGATCATCCTAGGAACTTTAAGATTTTCTGGTTCCCAACTCCAAGAGCATATGTACTTGGGACCAGAATTAGTATTGCCACTGTCACTGTCAATGCACATAGGATCAAAATCGCTAAGCTGCAACAAAGCACAGGCAGCAACACTAAAGCCTTCGTCATCAAGATCGTGCAATTTACAAGAGTCGTCCATATAAGTCTGCTCTTCCATTGCAAAGGGTAAAATGTTCAAGCAAGTCTTGTAGACACATAATGGATTGTGAGGATCTCTGAAATCCATTAACAGAACATCACCAGCCCGGAATAGAAATGCAAGTCCCGAAGAGTTGGGAACTTCAACAATGTTATGTGCTAGAGGTCCGGTATCAACATACTGAGAAATAACAGAGACTGTGTGTGCTTTAACATTCCATTCTAATAAAAGCAATTCATTTTGAGCAGCCCCATTCCTGTAGGACAAAGCAAATGCTTTGTTGTTAGTAAGTATGCATTACGACAAATACAACAGAGAGATAAACTAATTTCAATTATAGAGCTATTTTGAAGACATGGAACTCTTGACAATGGCCAAAAAAATTATTCACCATACCTATTTAGAATAATAGCTAATACAGGATTGTGCTCATTGCTTGGTTGTCGGATATCCAGTGAAATAAAGCACATACTCCAAATAGTACCGCTTATACTGGTTTTCTGCATGGCTCTGGAAGTAGTTGCAGTCCTTTCACTTTCAGAGGGATATATTATTCTCTGGAATTGAGCAGAAAATTTCACATAAGTATATTTTGTCAGACAAGCGAATAAAAGTATATTTTGTCAGACAAACGAATAAAAGTATATTTTGTCAGACAAAAGAATGAAACTATCAAAGTGAACAACAACAACAACGACCAAGCTTTTAAGTCACTATGTGGAGTCGACTACATAAATCAAATTACGCCATAATACTCTATAAAAGACCATGTTTCTATCCAATTTCTTAATCTCGAGATCTCACTTATTAGTTATTTTATAGTTTTTCTAAGTCTTCCTCTACATCTACTTGGCTGACTACTCTCCATCAAATCTGCTCTCTTTACAACAAAATCCACGCGACTTCTCTTAACATGCACAAACCACCTAAGTCTATTTTTCATCATCTTTTCTACACGATAGATGCTACCTCAATACCCTTTCTAATAATATCATTTATTATATTATCTCGTCTAGTTTTACCACACATCCAACGCAACATCTTCATTTCAGTTAGCTTAGTTTATTTCCATGTTGGTTCTTTACCGTCAAACATTTTGTCCCAAGCAACATTGTCAGTCTTACAAAATCACCGATAAAATTTTCCCTACGATTTGAGCAGTACATTTGTGTTTGTGTCACATAAAACACTTGAGGTCTTCCTCTATTTCAACCACTCAACTTGAATTCGATAGTTTATGTCTCCTTCTATTTCTCCATCGTTCAGTACTATGAACTCAAGATATTTAAACCGCATAACTTGTGGTAATATAAGATCTCTAACATACACCTTTAAGTTAGAAAAACTTCTCATTTTTCTAAACTTACATTCCATATACTTCGTCTTAGTTCTGCTTAGGCAAAAGTCATACGCTTCCAAGGCATGTCTCCAACCTCTCATTTAAATCCTTCTTCGACTCTCCAAATAGAACTATATCATTTGAAAAAATCATTCATCTCAATGCAAGTTCTTAAATGTGTTTCGCAAGTACATTAAAAACTAAAGTAAAAAGGAAGGGCTTAGGTCCTTCCAATCTTTTTGAAGTCCATAGAAAATCATTAGCCAAACATTAAAGATAACCAGACAAATATGTCCTCTATCTATGTCTAGTTGCCTATTAGATCACCTATACCACCAGAAAACTGTACTACATATACATTTTTCCAACACACACACACACACCAACATGCAGCTTTTCTAAAATACAAAACGGTACAGTAGTTTCGGACCTCATCAATGATATCATTCCCGATCATTGACGTCGACATTGAAAACAGAGCCAACCTATCTTCATAAGCACTGGCAGCAATAAAGCAACCACTGCAGAAAGAGAACCAGAGGAGTTAGTATATAGTAATATTCACAGAACTTTAGCATGCTTCAACTCTTTGTCCAATTTGACATTATTAGAAAAGCAGGATATTGACATGGCATATAGATCTCTTCATCTTAACAGGTCAAGCTTTTAGAAAAGCAGAATATCGACATGACATATAGAGCTCTTTAACCAAGTGGTCTATCCAATCTGGTCATTTGAGTCAATCTCCACACATCTAGTCTTGTGTGTGTTTATATTACATGTCATCTCAGAATTTAGGTTAGGCCTAACTCATTCCTACAAGGCTTGTAAGGGTAAAGATTGTCCCCACTTACAAACACAACACAGGTCATATCTCTAAGCAATGTGGGACTAAATCCACCCCTTCAAAGCCAACACGATGAAGGTGTTGGGGGCTGCAAATAAGGCAAGCCAAAGTGCCGCAATTAAGGCGACAAGGGGCGGACCGCAATTAAGGTGGCAACTCCAACACACCCCCTCACGCTTGGGCCTCAACGAGCCTGAAGCGTGGACGATGCGGGAAGCCCAACAATGGATATAGGATAGGCTTTGATACCATCTTAGCATTTGAGTTAGGCCTAACTCATCCCTACAAAACCGACTTGTAGGGTGAAGATTGCCCCCACTTATAAACACAACACGGGTCATATCTGTAAGCAATGTGGGACTAAATTCACCCCTTCAAAGCCAACACGATGAAGATGTTGGGGGCTGCAATTAAGGCAAGCCAAAATCTCGCAATTAAGGCGACAAGGGGCGGACCGCAATTAAGGCGGCAATTCCAACATGTCATATAACATAAAAATGTGTTTATAAGTGTGAGGGATTACTCGCCTTACAACACCTTACAAGCAAGTTTTGTGAGAATGATTGAAGCCCAACCCATTATTTAAGAATATGAAAGCATTAGAACTTTGAAGATTAAGTTCTTTGGAACAAAAGCACGGCTAGAAAGAAGAGAAAATCTAAGTTGCACACATTTTGACTATAGTAGCGATTGCACATGATTGAGTTTTAGTGTAGAAAATTTTCTTTTAACTTATTTAAAATAAAGCTTTTGATGTGAAAAGTAACATGATCATATAGTTGGAAATTAAAAAAATACAACTTAATACTATATTTTGAAGTACATGTAAAACAAATGAAATATTAAGCACATTCTGATCCTACTAAATAGAAAACCATCCAAGTATACCCTATGTATCTTTAAAAACCTTGTAACATTTGATGAATGGATAATTTAAAAGCAACAGTTAGATTTAAGTGCTATAATTCCAGTCACTGTAAGTGTTCAGTGATATGAGGATAAATGTAAGTGTTCAGTGGTATGAGGATAAAGGTTTAGGTGTTGAATGACAACACCCCCTATCGCTCATTGGTTATAGTAAATTTATTTGCTTTGCCTATGGAAGTGGGCCTACAACGTGTACAGTGTTAATAAGAGAATCTAAGGTATCCCTAAAGCTCCCTCACTTGAGCTTAATTTTGTGCTTTCATCACATGACCTTGGAATTTTTTTGGAGAAAAGAAAATAATTATTATTATAGTTAGAATAGTTCGAAAATGTGTGTTCCATTCCAATAAAATCATACTTACCAATGAGCATTATACAATATACACCAATAACAAGCAAATAGTCTACTCTCTTGCACTTAGACTTAAATTAAAATTTAAAGTAGATCTTAAATGCATCAGAGGTTGTGTACATTTAATAGAGAGAAGCCGGGAAGGGAAAAAAATATGAACGCTAGTCCTTACCACAGTCCCCACCAAAATAATCTGGCCCTATGCCATGAGCCCATAACAACAAGCGATGATTGTTTGTAGACATCCGGAAATCTTATTGTCCCTATGACTGGTCTATTATAGGCCTAAGTAACACTCCGTGCTACAAAGGCTGAGAGATTCCCAAGCATGGTTTTTGGAATAATATATCATAGCCAGATAAAATATTGGAGAAAAAAGGGAATAAGTTCAGGGGAAAATCATAGACCAAATATTGGGGCTACAATATAGTTTGCAATACATATAGCAACTAATCATGCTTGCAGAGTGGAAGTGAAACACAAAACTGAAGGACAAAAAGAAAGATAATACATATGCCTTCCAATAAATTTTTACTAGAAAAGAGATCACCTGGAATCAATTGCCAACATTCTTCCTGGAATATTCCTCATGTGACCAGGATCAGATAGTTGAACATGTGTTATAGGAAAAAATCTACCGCAATGCATAAAGAAAAATGAGAAAGCTTAGCATGGATAATATAGAGCTTAATTGTTCAAAAAAATGCAGTTCGTGATTTGTAGAAACAGTTTATCATACTATAAATGATACATTAATGAACCAAACCGGAAATACACTCCAAGTAATATGTAATACCAATCCAACAAAAAAGAGAAAAGACACGGTGAAAAAGTGAACCTGTTCATTTCATTGCAAAATGTGAGCAGTGACAGCTTTCCGGAATCAGATAAAGCAACCAAGAGGTCTTTACCTTGAGTCTACCAAACAAAGGATGAAAAAAGAAACTAAATAAGTTCAATCTTGGCAACTGAAGAATACAAGCACAAAAAAAAACTTATTTCCTTCAAAACAACTGACTTTCTATGAGGACTATCTGATTGATGGTCTTTTTTTTTGCTAACACAAGACCGACATGAACCACTACACATAGAGTTAACATAATCTTTGCAATCGAATTTTGTTGATTTTACAAATATTGTGCTACAAATAAAAATATAACTTACATTGATCTATCTATATTCATAAAAGTTTTTGCTAATTAATCATACATGCTATAACGTCACATGATTTAAATAAATGTTTACTTCAATTGGGGCAGCAAAAACAGTAACTTCACCACAATTGAGGTCGCATTGGACTACTTGAAAAAGTAGAAATATTGACACAGAAAAAAAATAAAAGTCAGTCTCTAAACTTAAGGACAGTGTTAGAGAGACGAGTTATTTGATTTCAATTTGGTTTAGGGTTCTGTTGTTCAACTATCGTAAATAAGCCTTTTTGCTGCTAGTTTCTAACATGATTGGAGCTTCCTCTTGCTTGAAAGAGATTTCATCCTAAGTTTTGTTTAAATATGGCTGATGTTTTTTTGTAAAAGTTTTCCTTATCTCGAATTTGTATCATGAACCTCATCCTTTTTTGTCAAAAACTCGGATATATTGATCAGAAAAATCAATCAATTTCACTAATGGCCAGCACACCTGTGGCGGGCGACGAGCACGAAATTTCTCATTCCACGGCAATACAGCAAGATCTTTAATGATGCCAAAAACAGGCTGATCACAGACAGTTTGTACATTCCCATCCTCATCAATCACCACCAATTCTATAGATGTCTCCTGAAATCACAAAGCAATAACAGTAAAAACTAAATGAACCAGTTCAGTTAGATTGCATAGCACCAACCAACACCTCTGAAAAAGAGGTATGTCACTTGTGATTATATTTAATTTATTTGTTATTGCCGGTGTTGGTGTCAATCACAGATAGTTGAAAACAGCACTTTGTTCAATTTCCATTACTGTTATACCCTATTTGACAACATTTTGTACTAAATGGTAGGGTTTTTTAATGGAAAATAAAATAATAGGGTTGAGGTTCCTAAATTCGTTCCAGCGACTAAAACCTAACTCGAAGAACGAAAATAAAAGTGCGAAAAGATAAAAGAGGGGAATAGATAACCTTGCCGAAAACGACGTCGTTGGAGGAAGGAGAACGAAGATTAGCGTAGAGGACTTGGAGAATCGCGCTTCCTCTGAGTACGCACTTGGAGAGATAATAGCGCGGAGGAGGGGATGAAGGAGAATAGGAAGAAGAAGAAGAAGGAGAAGACTTGACGGAAGAGCATTCTTCTTCGGAAACCGCCATAATTTCAAGATTTGGAGGTTTTAGAATTCGCGAGATATACGATTGGTTGTTTGGGGAGAAAATTGATAGCGAGCATGAGGTTTAGAATTAGAATAGCGTTCATTGAGAGTAGATACTAAAGTGATGCATAGTGGTGGAGTTAAAAGTGTATAGCAAAAGGTTGAAGAAGAAAGAATGGTTGAAGAAAGTTGGGGGAAAGGGAAGACTGTAGAATACATAGCACGGTTATTGATGCCTAATCTTGTCTTGGCTTGTTTTCTCTTTTTTTAATTTATTCATCATAGGAGATTTTTTAATTAAACTAGTAATAAATATGTGTTTTCGTACAAGTTCTAATACGGGATACACATTTTATTTCAGATGTATCTTTTTATTAGAAAAAAAATGTATATTAAAAGTAATAAAGATTTACTGTAAAACACATATCTTGTATTTCGAAGGACAAAATTTATTAGTAATTTTTTATTGCCGTTGTGGAGTTGGGCATATCCAATACTCTCGACCATATTAATAATGTTTAAGTATGATGGATGAATCAAAAACATAAGACAAATTAATATAAAAAAATGAAAAATATGTAATAGTTAGACATGTAATGTTATTGATCAAGACATCTTTCTGAAACCTTGTGGTAATAATATATGTAAAATTGGTAAATCAGTGTTGTTTGGGTGGTATGATGTATTTGTTAACATCATAAACAGAAGTTTCTCCAGTAAATTTCACCAAGAACTTGTGTGTGGATGATTTTGTTAACTCCTAAATTCGACACCTACAACAAGTTGGCTTTATGGGCCAAAAATAGATTGAACAAGTCTAAGTTGGAAAAGCTTCGACAAAGTAGAAAAGTACTTAGAGAAATTCTAAGTTAAAATGAGTCTTCGACCAGAAGGTTCTCAATCCCTTCGACTGAAGGGACTCCAAGGTCTTCGACCATAAGGAAACTTCGTATCTGCCCCGGAAGATTTTTGAATCTGGAGAAAGGCGGGAAAAATAGTTCGTTTGGCAGTCGAGAAAAGCAACGTGGCGTGAAAAGAGGGATCGAAGCGCATGTAGAAGACACTTGTCTTCATCCTAGAGCAAGGCAACTCCTCAACGGTTACCTAGTTTTAGTATAAATACAGGAAGTTTATGTAGATTCCCGTGTGTTCAACTGATCGTACAAATTATTCAATATTATTCAAGTACCCGTTGCGTGAGAAAGAATACTGAAAAATGTACGTTTGAAACACCATATTTTACAATCAAAGTCTTTTATTTCTCTCTTTACATTTCTTGCCTCTTTATCTTGTTTGCACTTTATCTGCACTTTTACCCAAATTCTTGCACCTAACCTCTCCTCAACCCATTCTTTCTATTTACTTTCTACACTCAAACTCATCCCTTTCTCAGTCGAACTTGCGTTCTTCACCCACATTAACGTTTATGTCCAAACAACATCAAAAATTAGCATATGTCCTAGGATCAAACTGATCGATCCTGCGAGTAACCAAAAAGTTACCTTTTTGGAAGATCAGCGGTTGTTCACCAGAAAACACGGTGAACAAATTGGCACACCCGGTGGGACCTTGCTAATTATTGTTGCTTTATTTATTTTTGTTTTCCGTTTGTGCCCATTAATCTTAATATAAATGCTTCGCATGATTTTCTTTCTTTTACAAAGTTTTGCATGCTATTAAGAAATGGTAAAGTAACCACCAACGAGTGTACAACTAGAAAGAGAAATAGTGAAAGCAATATAGCTAATCGGCCAAATAATGGAGAAATACCTCCACCAATTACTACAGGAACAGCGATAATACCAACTGTTAGTGAAATTGTCTCGTCAACTGTTAGTTCGATACCAACATTAACAGCAACCCAAACGGGACCAATACTTTCGTATGCAGGTCCCAGAGGTCCAACAGGAACACCCCCGCCAAGGGTGAATCTAGAATTTCGACTACATGCTCCCCAAGATTTTCGACAGCTTGGATGGGTCGAGACCAGCCTTATGGCATGCCAACTACTGAAATGGCTAGCCTTATGAATGTTGCGTCTACATTTTCAGAACCTTTGGTAAGTGCATCTTCGCCATTACAGGGGTTTGGAACTGGCATGGATAGGAGCCAACTTTTAGGAGGGACATCCCTTGCAATGTCAAGCCTCACAAACGCTTCCACAGTAATTTTGAGGCAACAGATGGATGAAAGCAACCATGACATGGTACAAATGTTGGCCCAAACTCTAAGTACAGTATTAAACTCTCTAATACAAAACACTACTCAATCAAAACAACAAATGACAACGCAAATGGCACACATGACTGAATTTTTTGGGGTTCCCTAACCTATTCGATAACCCCAGAGAGCTCCTATGAGAGAGGATCAGGGTATAGTCTTAGAAGAAGATGTAACTATTAACCAAAATCCACAATTCGATAGGAGGAACCACATGGTAGAAATCGAATAACCTAGGGTCGAAATATCTAGACTTCCCCCGCAGATCCTTAGAGATGGTGGTCAAGGTGTAATGATGGTAAATAGGAACCAAAATGCTGATGAACTGATACAGCAAGTTCGACACCATAATTATGGCACAGAGAATAATATGACAGCCATGATCGAAAGAATCTTGATACAAAATGAAGTGAACGTTGGCTTTCATAGGCCAAATTTTACTTCCCCGCTGTCATAATATATCTTGCAAATGGATTTACCCCCTAGGTGGAAAGTTCCAAAGTTCATTAAGTTTTCAGGGGATACGACAGAATCAATTGTCGAACATATAGCGAGATATTTGATAGAAGTTGGGGAAATATCAAATAATGAGAGCCTTAGGATTAAATACTTCCCAAGTTCTCTAACAAAAAATGCTTTTACTTGGTTTACCACCCTCCTAGCCAATTCGATCCACAATTGGAATCAATTGAAGAGATTGTTCCATGAACAATTTTACATGGGACAAACCAAAATAAGTCTAAAAGAACTGGCAAGCGTGAAAAGAAGATTCACTGAGCCAATAGACGAATATCTAAATAGGTTTCGACTGCTCAAAGCCAGATGCTTTACACAAGTGCCTGAGCATGAATTGGTCGAAATGGCAGCAGGGGGCCTAGACTATTCTATTAGGAAGAAACTAGATACCCAATATCTGAGGGACATGGCCCAATTGACAGATAGAGTTCGACAGGTAGAACGTCTTAAAATTGAAAAAGCTAAAGCAACTAAGACTCATCGAAGAGAAAAGGTAGCCTATATCGAAATGGATGATGATGATCCAAAAACATCTAGTAATCCTATAGTTGTCGAAGAGAGAGAAATAGATTTAGCAGAGTTAAAACATGGGCCTTCATACTCTTGTAGAGTGTTACTACCCTCAGATGGGAAGAATCCTACTGAGTCTGAAAAGAACAGTGATAGATTCCCAAAGAAAACGTATAGTTTCGACGTCACAAAATGTGATGAGATATTCGACTTATTAGTGAAAGATGGTCAAATGATAGTTCCCCCAGGGGAGAAAATGCCTCCTTTAGAACAAAGAAAGAAAAAAGGTTTTTGTAAATATCATAATTTTTTGGGCCATAAAACTTCACAATATTTTCTTTTCAGGGATCTCGTTCAAGGAGCGGTCAAAGAAGGCAAGCTCAAATTTGCTGACAAACCCCAAATAAAAATTGATGCAGACCCACTGAGAGTTGATGCCCACTATGCTGAATCAGCAGGCATCAGCATGGTCGAAACTTCGGAAGACTTCGTCAATATACGGTCTTTGGCAGTTTTACTGGGAACATCTCCAGAAAGATTGCAGAAGCGGTTAGAAAGGCCATTGAAGGCCTAAATCAAAAGGCTACTGAAGGCCTAAACAAAGGATTTACTGAAGACCCAAACAAAAGGACTATTGTAAGTTCTTATGTGGCTTCCGTCAAGGGTTCGACAGAAGACCTTGAAGCCAAAATGCAAAAAATGAATCTCGCTGCCAAAAGCAACGTACAAGTCAACATGGTCGAAGTATCTGAGGCCAAGGCTTCAAAGGAAGCCATGAGACAAGAGGAAGTGAATAAAACTACATTTCAAAAAGAATATGAGAATTTGGCTGACTTTCTACAATGATGTCAGAAGAAAAAGTCTGAAATTATGTTGTGTCCAAGATGCAGCTCCATCTTCGACAAAAAGGCTGCAGAGCACATACGGGGCATAAGGGTAATGAAAGAGAAAAGTGCCACCAATGCCTAACCTTACATGGTTTCTGAAGTTAGATACGATCCCAGAAGAGGACCAATGAACCAGGTAAAGAGGCCATCAACTTTCAAGCCTCTGACAAATGTCCCCGTGGACACTTGGCTAAAGACAACACACAGGAAAAGGCCAAATGAAGAGAAATGCCAAACATTCTATGTGCCAAGAGGGTCATCCTTGGCATATAGGAAGGAGTTCCAAACTACAACTACAAACAAAGTGGCTCATGCGTCGAGCAACTATAAGGGGAAAAAAACCCATGTCTCGCTCCCAGTGGAGAAGATTTCAGAGACGATGAAAGGCTGAAAGGGAGGCCACAAAGGAGCCTCAACCAGAGTCAAGCACCAACGTGCCACAAAGAATGGACAAAGACAAACAATGAAAGCCTTTAGAAAGGAAACCAATTGCCAGAAGATTGGAGTGGCCAGATCGAGGTGAATCAGATGACGAAGGTAACTCTGAATCTGATGCTACTTTAGACATTATGGTAAATGTAGTATCAGTGCTACCCAGAGAATACGACCGCCAAGTCGAAGTCGAAGAGACCGACTGGGAAGTCAAACAAGATATGGCCAAACATAGGCCAATGTGTTATTATGTGATGAACAATGGTTGCGTCGAGGAGCAAAATACATTCTTCGAGCCACCTACTGAGGCGATGAAAAATCACCTTAAACCTTTGTTCATAAGAGCAAAGATAGGGGAAATAACAATCAACAAAATTTTGGTTGATTGTGGAGCTACAATAAATATAATCCCCTAATCTATGCTAAGGAAAATGGG